CTCCTTTAATCAGCAGCAGCAACAGCAGCCTTGAGTGTCCTTGAGTTTTGTGTAGTCCTTATCTCGGCCCTGATAACCGTCCCCGTATTTGTGAAAGTTCCACCTCCACTGGGTCTTTCCAGTAACTGAAAGAGGAATATGGGTAGAAATGTCACCTTTTGAACCCTCACTCTCCAGAGCGCCTGGCGTCTCCTTGCAAACAGGTTGTGAATGACAGCGCCCAGTTTCCCTACAGATTAGATCCCAAAGGATAGTGATCAATTTCTTTCCATGCTGTCATCACAATGTCTCTGGAGCTCACGGTGTTTTCTGAGCTGCTTTTTGGCACTATCAGGCGGGTATAAAGTGGAGTTCCCCCCACCCCAGCTACTCCTCCCGCTGCCAGCTTGTGGAGAGGGGAAAAAAAGGAAGACAGAAAAGAAAGCTGTGGCGTGAGGTGCCTTTGTTCAGGGCAACTTAGGCGTGAAATCTTTTTGTCCTTCCCAAAGGAAGGCAAAAGTTGCGGTTGATTTGGAGAAAAAAGAGGCGAGTGCAGCGCTCCTGAGACGGAGGTGCCTCTGGGCAGGCGGGAGGAGGGTGGGTGGGCAGACCCTGATGGGGATCTGGTGCCGCAGATGAGCTGGTGTCTGTGTCCTCCCCCTCTTTTCCTCTTGCCTTGCCTTCTCCTTCTCCAACAAATTCATCAGGTCTTTGACTTTTTCTTTACAAACATGCACCCGACGGCTGTGTCCCCTGAGAATGTTTTGTTTACACACCGTCGTGTCTAAGTCTGGTGTCTTTCCAAGTTAATTTCAAAACCTCCCTGGGAATCAAGGTGTGAATGTCCCTGTGTGGTGCAGCTGCAGCCGAGGGTCCGATCTGATGGGCAGGGGCAGGAGGGTGCCGGGTGTCCTTTGTCACGCAGGCAGGACAAGGTGCGGCCGAGCTGGCAGCTGGGCACGGTGGGCAGGAGCGGTGCCGGGGGGCTGCTGCTGCTGCTTCCAGCCCAGCGAGCTGGGGCTGCCCGGCGGGACAGCGTTCCCTGCCTGCATGGCTGCCTTTGCCAGAGGCTTTCCTGCTCCTGGGGGAGGGAGGAGGGCGTTTCTTTGTTAGCTTCCCTTCGCCTGTCTGCCTGCAGGGACGGCAGGCTGGGACAAACCTGGAGACTGACCTGGCCTGGCTGAGCTTTCTTGCCCAGCATCCTTCTGGTTCGGGCTGTGGCTCCCCTGGGAATAGGAAATGCAATTCCTCTCGTGTTTTGTTCTCCGGGGTTCTCTGTGGTGTCCTGCAGCACTCGCCCCTGACCCAAACCGTGCAGGGAAGGGTGGCTGCAGGGTGGCGCCTCAGTGCAGGGCACGGCACAGGCACACAGAGTTCTCCTCTAAAGCAGCTGGCCAGGGCCTGCAGGCGTCATTTTCACCTGCTTTTAAACAAACGTTGCAAGTGCTTTCTTTGGCTTTTGAAACTGCTGTCACAAGCCCGTGCTCTGCAGAGGGAGCAGCTTCAGCCCCTCAGGACAGAGCTGGACATGGGGCAGGGGGCTCAAGCCATGCTGGCCACTGGCACCCTCCAGCCCCAGCACCCATGGCCAGCAGAGCCCTCCTCACATTTTCCAGTGGCAGAGGAAGGAAGGGATTTTTCCTATGCCATCACCATACCCAAATTGGGTTACAGGACTATAAATTCCCGCCTCTCTGCCAGGATGGTCTCAAGGATAAATATATGGGCTGTTGGTGGTGGGACACAGCACGGACAGCGGATCTGGCATGGCTCTGCTCCTGTGCCTGCCATCCTGAGGCACTCTGTCCTGGGAGTTCATGTGAGCTCCTAAAAGCACGGCAGGATTCCTGCCAGTGAGGGCACTGCAGTGCTGCAGCCAGCAGCAGGTCACCTGGAACAAGAAATAACAGCAGTGGGCTGTAAGATGTTCCTGGGGATGTAACTCACCTTAATGAGCAAATACCCTGAGCCAATCACTGCCCAGATTCCCACACTTTTTATCTTCACCTATTTCACAGGAGTGCAGAATTTGATCCATCTCACCAAGCCTGTTGCACTGCATAATTAAATATAGGCAGCATTAAGCAACACTTTTGGCAACTCCTCTGTGAAGTTTTCCAGTAAAACCTATCAGCGGCCCTGAGCAGTTTGGGAAATAATAATAATAATAAGGAAGAAGCGGAGGCAGTGGAGTTTTACGGACTCCCAATGCACAAGAAACCATTTTATTTAAAAACAATGCATTCAATATCAGGTTATGGCACATGAGTCAATGCTGCAGGCACATCTCACCACGGGATCACACTGAGAGCTCCTGAGCCCCGATGCTCGTGCTGAGGGGAGCCAGGGCACCAAGTGTTGTGCTCCAGCCTGGGCTGGGGACACACACAGCCTGGGGACACACACAGAGCCTGGTGCCAGCCCTGGGGACACATACAGCCTGGGGACACACACACAGAGCCTGGTGCCAGCCCTGGGGACACACACACAGAGCCTGGTGCCAGCCCTGGGGACACACACAGCCTGGTGCCAGCCCTCAGCCCCTGTCCCAAGGCTCTCCGTGGTCATGGGGCTGGAGCAGATCCACTTGCAGCGTCCTTCCCACCACTCACCTGAGAGGTGCCCTGGCCCTTTATGAACATCAGCCATTGAAAAATAAACGATGCTTTTAGTATGGCCCTTACTAAGGAAACCTTTGTTACAATTATGGCATTTTTTTCTTTTTTTTTTTAATATTTATATTTTTTATCGAAAACAACTCCATCAGGCGTTGAACTGTAGAGCCATTGAAATAAAGACACATTCATTTACAGAAAACCTGCTTTTTCCTATTTGCCCTGTTTTTGCAGCCTCCATTCACAGTTAGCTCTGTTTCACAATCTCTTGCTTTTTTTGGCTTAGTCTTGCAATTAAACCTGGTAGCCAAATGCCTGTTTTCACGTGCCTTGCTACCGTTCACCAAGGAGATGCAAGCAACAAAAACAGAGAGCCAAGATGTATAAAAGAAGAGAGGAAACATGTATTCCCAGTCCTATGTACACCCCCAGCACCTTGGCAAAGGGGCTGGAGAGGGATGTGGCTGCCACTGGACACTCTCCTGGCAGCCCAGGGCCAAGCAGGGTCTCCCAACGGAGGGAGCTGCTCAGGAGGACTTGTCTGGATTTTGGAGCCTCAAATGTTTTGTACTTACAGGTATCGATCCCGCTGCATTAGCTCTGTTGGCTTGTCTAGACATTCAGCCATGGGAAGGAGAGTTCTCCCCGGACCATCAGGAATTCATGCAGGAAGGTTTGGGGACAAAGAGAGGGAAGGTGGTGCCACTTGCAGGGGCCACTGGCTGTCCTGAGCGAGGAGGGCAGCCCCCAGCACCTTGTAAATAACTATTCAATAAATAATAAAGATGCTTTTTTTATTAATGCAAAGGCATTTGTGCTGGAGAGAGGCAGCCCCAAAGAGCCTCTCCTCCTCAGCCACTGTCCTGTCCACCCCCTGCCATCCTCACCTCTCCCTCAGAGCCCGCCTGGCAGAACAAAAGCTGTGCGCTTTGAGATGGTTTTCCACCTTGCACAAGCTTGGGCAAAAGAATATTGATACTAAGAAGCAATTTACTGTGGGCTGTGCTGTGCCATCGATCACGGGGCAGAACTCCCCATTAAAATCAATGATTCTGAAATGTTCAATGTGGGTCTGGAGCATCGATGGGGAGTTTTGCTTAAAAATCAATGATGTAATATGGCGTTCTGTCAATAATTTTTCTGTATTCCCATTCCCAAATATTTGCAGTCAGTTTTGTGCTTCCTTCTCTGCATTCGGTGCCTCTTTGTGCTTTTGGAAAGTTCTGGTGGTGACGCCAGGACTGGCAGGGGGTTCTGCCCCTCTCCAGGACTGCAGGAGGTTCCAGAACTGTATGGAGCACACTGCTCCCTGCTTTCATGCCAGTATAATGATAATAGCTCTCATTTCTTTAATTTGCTGAGGAGAAGTGATGGGTCCCCACAGGAAACTGGTAAAAGGCCTCTTGATAAAAATACCTGGCATTCAGAGAGACCAAGAAGGGTCACTCAGGGTTTGGGGTGACACCTGTGGGCTCTTTGCCTTTAGGATTGGAGTTTCTGGGCACTGCTTTACCATGGGCCTCAGTGACCAGCATGGCTGCTGTACAGCTCCATAGGAAACAACAGCAGAAATTATTCATTCCTGCCCTTCATTAACGACCAGATCAGAGCTCTTCTTTCCCTGTGCAATTTCTGGCTTGGGGCTAAACCATCTGTGTGCTCCAGCATGTGGAGAAGGGTGCCTGCAGCGGTGCCCGGTCACTGCGGGGACATCACCACTGCCCCACTGTGGCTCCGTGAGCTGGGAAATGTGGGATATTTCCAATGAAGGACAAAGCCACCAGCTCCTTCTCCACCCAGGGGTGTGGGGGAGAACCATCCTGGCTGCAGTGGGCACCAGGCCATGCCTGGGCTGCTCAGCTTGGGTGCTGTGCTGGAGATCTCCTTCCTCATCTCCTATGTCTGAACACAGGTAAAGAAGCCAAGGAAAATTAACTTGTGCCATTTTAAATCTATGTCATTGTGGGGTCAGTTCTCACTCAGAACAGTAAAAAATGGTTAAATACTTGCCAGCATACTCATAAGAAACCCAGTTATTTCCCAGGCTCCCTTATCCTGAGAGGTAAAGGCCAACACTCCCCAGCTGTAAGTGACCCTATTGTCTGTCCTGTCCCCAAACAGCTGGATTTCCTGTGGTGCCAAGGAAGCAGCTGCCCTGCCTGCCTCGGAGTGCTGCTGGTGATGGGACAAGGGGGACACTGCTCCAGCTGGCTGACTGGTGAGTTACAGACATAAATGGGGAAATTTGGTCATGGCATTGCCTCTTCCCTGCGCTCCAGCTCTGCTCACTTCCCTACAAAAGCGGGTTTTAAAAATCCCAGCACCTGGCTTCCATTTTTGCCCATCCTGCCAGTCCCTGGCCAAGCAGAGGGATGGGGTTTGGGGCTTTTCTCACCAAATAGGTCTCCAGAGAAGCCTAATTCTGTATATTGTGGTGGTTGAAGTTTAAAATCAAATGACAGAATAGCATCAGCTGGATGGGAATAAACATGCCTCCATCTGTCTAGTCTGGACTAGGATCTGTCCCGAAAGGAATTAAAACACTGAAGTATTCCAAGAGTGATATAAACACCTAGCTAAGGTATGAGCCACTTTGTGACCTTCTTCTTGTTATTCTTTAAAAAATGTAAAATTCAGTAAATAGGAAAATACCCAAGCGGTGGAAATCAGGATCCACACTGAGGAGCTTGCGTGTGACAATGCGCTGGAATTCCGAGTGGCTTCCTCCATCGGCCACGGCAACGCTGAGCTATTGACAGCAACAGATACAAAAGAAGCAAAACCTTTTAAAAGTAGCATTTCTAGCTCTAATGGCAAGGAACAATAAAATCATTTAGGGTGTTCAGTAGAACGCTAAAATATGAACAGATATTAAAACATACTGAGTGGCTTATCTAGAAATGCAAAATGTTTCAACTTTGCAGCTGCACAAATCGCATCCACAGAACATGATAAAAGCTTCTGCACCGCTAAATACGCTGAAACCTTGGATGAGCAGTAGCTAAAAAGCATCTTTAAATTATGGAAAAGATTCTAGGGTGGGTTTGTTTCCTTTTTAGAATTCTATCTGAAGAATGTTTAATTTGGTTTTGGGCACTTTTTTAGACAATTGTTTGGCACTTCAAGATTTAGGTTCTTAGGCACAATGCGACAAGGTGAGTTTGGCCAGTCCTTCACCGTGCATCCTGTAGAGCAGCTGGAACTCTGCAGGCAGCTGGTGGGACTCCTGCCACTTGGTGGTGAACTTGGTTCCCTTCTTGTCGTAGTAGTGGTACGGGAGGTCCTCCCGCGTGTTGGGGTCGAAGGCGAAGGGCCAGAATCCGTACAGGTGGATCTCGTCGCAGATGGCCGAGGCCAGGGTGTACATGAGGATACCTGTGCTCAGCCGCTTGGGGGACAGGTGCTTGTTCCGCCAGTACCTGGGAAAACAAGAGGGACTCACACTCGGGCTGCTCAGAATAGCTGGAGGCTGCTCTGAAGCAGCCACAGAATGTCAGTGGCTCTGGCAAGCAGTGCCCCTGACTAGCCAGATGTGCCTCCCACATCAGGCATGAGGGGAAAAATCGTTAGGAGATGTATTTGGCCACCCACCTGTTAACGTGCTGCATGATATTTCCTGGCCAAGCCAGCTGGACCTTTAGCTGTCCCCTGTGCTCAACAAAGAAGTCAACCAGTGTTCTCGTGACTGTCGCCGACGTGTGGAAGAAAAAAGCGGGGATCCAAAGGATGGCCCCGTCGAGCTTTTTCAAACTTAGGAAGAAGTTGTTGCGATCCTGAATGGTCAGGAGGTTGTTGTAATACTTCTCCAGGATGCTGGGGTTGAAGGTGGTAAGGTTGGTTTTCCTTCCAACATCTTTCTGGAAAGCCTCGGTCGGAGCAAAGTTGCAGCGGAAGACAAAATCCGATTTATCAATTTCCTGCCCGCACTGGCTCCCGGTCAGGATCCCGCTGTTGCCGACCACGGCGCAGATGTTGTAGTGCTTGTTCATGATGGGAGACACGTCAGGCAGCAGAGACCTGAAGTTATTGCTGATGGCAAACACATACTTATGGCTGGAGTAATCGTAGTGCATCAGCTGCCCGATCCGAACGCTGCTCTTGATCAGAGAAAAGTTTTTGATGACGTCAACATGCTGAAGGATTTCTTGCCTAAAACAAGAACAAAATAGCAGAAAACAAGGAGTTCTAATTACCGTTTTTTGCAGAGGATTTGTTTGCCACCTAGACTTATGTTTTTCCTTTTTTTAATTTAAAGTGTGCTGAAGTAGTTTCCTGAGCAACATGGTGCAGTGGCTTTTAAATCAATATAAATAGATGGGAATGAGGGAGCTGGCTCTTCATTTAGAGCTCCACTTGGGTTTACCGGCTGGTCCCTACTGATGCCAGCTCGGGCTGTGCCCAGGCCTCTTGGAATAGTGTCAGGATTAAAATCCGGGATTGGCTGCTTAGAGCAAGGGGTGCAGCTCCCATTACAAGCCCAGAGCCAGCCAGCACCGCACCGCCCTGTCTGGGCAGTGACACAGGGTGGGCACAGCTTTCTGCTGGGGCTCTGTGTGCCTCTCATTCCTGCTGCAGCCACAAGGCACGTGAAACAAACCCAGGGTATCCAACTGAATTGACAGGAGACAATTTATATGTATATTTATGTTTTCATTAACAAGCTTCCAATCACAAAACCAAGCGACAGCCACTGTCTCCATCTATGCAAATATAGTTCCTTAATTCATCTTTGGGCAAGCACAGCAGCACTTTTAGGAGGGTTATTAGGGATACTTACAAAGCAAACAAAACCAGCCCTGCTTGGGAATTTCCCTTGCAGGGCATAAAATTAGAAACTGATAGGACTTTATTTACTTATGTTTATGGAAAACAAACAACCATTCCTCCAGCTCACATCCTCCAATGTCTGAGCATTAATGGAGTCCCACTGGGTGCCCTAATTATGGGTTCTGGCTGACGGACAAGTGCAGAGGCAGCTCCTTGAGGCATCAGCTAAAATCATCCGAGGGGTAGCACAGGAGCAGGCTGATGGAGCTGCTGGTGCCAGGGATGGAGCAGCACCGAGGGGGGCCACTGTCCCTGTCACACAGGAAAAGATGGGACTAAGAGCCCAAGATGGGCAGTGCTTGTCCTGCTGTCCTTGGACTGCGGCCCCAAACCCTGTCCTGAGAGCTGCAGCAGCCCCGTCCTGCCTGGCCACAGAGCCAGATTCCTGCTCCGCAGGTGGGACATGTGAGCAGAGCCACCAGGCAGCCCCTAAACCAGCAGGCATTTGGCAGGACAAAACTACAGTCCAACGTGGCAGTAGCTGTCCTAAATGGCTACACGGTTTTATTTTCTTTCATAGAAATGCTAAATATATGCAATCAGCAAATAGATGTATGTATAAAGAGCACAAAGCTGTGTGCCTGCCCCCGCAGCTGGAGCGGAGCTGCAGGCAGAGCAGCACTGCACTTGCTCAGAGCTGCCAGCAGCTGGGAACTTTCTCTGTGTGCCTCTGGCCTCCACGAGCACAGCCTGTCATGGCCTACATGCTCCCACTCTTAAACCACTGCTATTTACCCTGGAGTAATGACAATTCCACTTGCACACCAGGAAACTGGGTCACGTTCTAGTACAATAACTGTGTTGCAGCCTGGTGTCCTGCTCTGAAATAATCAAGTCTTTCGGGACAGCTGCAAGTGTCTGGGGGAAAGCTCTGGTTCAGCTTTGTCTCTTGCCCCTGGCAAATTCCTGAGAGCTCGGAGCACTCGGCAGGGTGCTGTGTTCCCTTAGCTGCCCAGAGTGCTCAGCAGGGTGCTGCGTTCCCTTAATGCGCTGGAAGGGCACAGCCGGGCAGTGCCAGCGCCCAGGTGCTGGCTCACCTCTGGTGGGCAAAGGCGCTCCGGTTGAACACCCACTTGGAGGGCTTGTCCTGCAGCTCTTGGCCCAGGGAGTTGGTGAGGGGCACGAACGAGGGGTCCAGGAACTTCAGTGCAAACTGAGACCTGCAGGTGGGCACAGACGCCAAAACATGCACACAC